TCAGGTGTAAGTAATACCTACATATTTGATCTGTTTGGGGTCCAAACGATCGGGCCATGGGGTTCCGGAGTCCATCGTCATTATCAAGAGTTAAAAAATAAACTTTTTGACAGGTGTGGTGATAAGAAGGTTGGTTTGTACCTCGCCCAAAGAATTAGTTTGGCTATTCAAAGAAAAGCTCGCAGCCTTCTGGGTACCTTACCTGTTAGCAATGATCTGGGATATATTTTTTATTTAGTATTGCTAAGACATAGCTTTTTACAATGATATTTTACCCGATGATCTTCCTTTATTTGTTTCATTAATAACCTACTATACTCTGAGGTCCCTGGTCCGATAATCGTCGGATAAATGTAGAAAATAAACTTTTCTGTACTCTCCTGGAACTCGGAACTCGAAATTGTCTCTGAATATTTATTATATTACCTTCGTGTTTCAGATTTCCATCAGTGCTATTGCTACTTAATTTAGAATTTGATATAATGTCGTCTAATGTATATTTCACAACGATAGGATAAAAACTGTAACGGTGTGCCGTACCACCGTTTATTTCGTCCTAGGTTTCCGCATGCAAACTTTTTCCTTTGATATTTAACATCACTTCTTTTTATCATTCACCTTTCGTAATTTAAATTTTTTAAATGTTAATTAAAAAGTATATCTTCGTGAAATACCGTCCAAGTTAATATATTATAGGAAATCCAAAAAAAGGTAAAATTAATGACCTTGTCAACAGAATTTCATATAGACATGGATTTTAAAAACAAATCGTTCGTACTGTTTGATGGTGATCCGTTCCCTGAAATAGATGACGACGAAGACAGTGACGTTGAAGACATACTCAAGAACATAGAAGATGTCACAGATAAAGCTCTCCTTGCCGGAATATTTGTCGTTCAAAGAACTTGCCACCAAGATGGTAGACTGCGTATCCAGTGGAGATGCAAAGATGTTGATCATCGAAGAAGGTGATGGTCCATTAGGGCCAGTAGACGCTGAGGTGACGTTACACTATGCTGTTTACTGGGAAAAGATCAATACACCCTTTGATTCTACCTTGATAATGAACTCTGGAGCACCAATATTTTTCTTTACGCTTTTCTTTATTACCTTATAGTAAAATCAAGTTCTCAAGCTTAGTCAACTTTTTATTCAGTCACCAAAGCATCGAATCCATCACAAAACGATAGGATTAAAAAGAGACCTGAAAGATAGCGTCGATGTAAAAATTAACAGAAACATGCTCCGCTCCGCATGCCGAAAGAAAGAATGACAAAACTGATTTATAACGCAAAAAGTTGTACGGACGAAATATGTACACGTATGGATCATGACTTGTAGCACACGGTCCTCTGTGCCTACCACGAGATACGGCGTGAAGATATATATCGTTTACCGAGTTACTCCCAAACCTAGTTTAAACAACAATCTTATTACGTGTGTCGATATATTCTATTTTTAGATAGTTCTTTTTCTACTTTGATAATTTTGCTTATAGAAAAACTCCGGCAATCCAAATATAATACTCGAGCATGAATATTTATTTGTAATTATGCTCTGATATGTCGTTATACAAAATTGTCGACCTTATACTCTTCAGAACACTTGAATGTTAAGGCTAGTTTAGGATAGCTTTGAAGGTCATATTATTTGTATTTATTTACATACTGATTTTCATATAAAACTAATAGTCATTTTCTACATATATAAATAGTTTGTTATATTTCTCCATTATAAATAAAAATTGGTATACAAGTACAAAAATGTTTTAAAGATAGCTTAAATTGTAGATTTGTTTGAGAATAATGTAGAAAAATCTTAACGTTTCGATGGATTTGTAGATTTATGGACAATAAATAGCATTGTCATCACTTTTTTTAAATACTCTACACGTATATTAAAATAGCACCAAATTTCATCAGTTGGTTTCAAAATAAAAATTAATTCGTAAAATCAAATTTTGGACACATGAAATAAATATAATTACTTATAATTCATGTAATTTAACAGAACCGTATTATATACTTTATTCGTGGTTATACTTGTATATCCGTGAGTGTAAACCATTCTTTACTACACATCGTGACTACCAATGTTTACTTAGTTTTTTTGGAAGCCTGCATCGAATTTTTCGTTTCATCAAAACCCACTCTATTATCAAAACACTCGAACGTCTTCTGGTTTTTGTTAAATCAATTCGGTGGTGTCATTCCGAACTCGATTCCAAATAGTCGTGACTTGTGACATCAATAATAAAAATCTTGTTATATATTTATGGGGAAGCAACTGTAAAATTTAATCTATTTCAAAAATATTGATTAATCAGGATCGCAACAAATAAAAGCTCATTTAAAATAAATTAAAATAATTTTCAATATACAAAGTTGTATATTAACTAAATGAAATAATTTTTACAAAAAAATAATATAGTTCATCATTCGCAGTTTGTAGATATTTAGTATATTTTATTGTTTACAAAGTCAAAGTCAAAATAAGCTTTACTCAAATAGACTTCTTAAAAGTTCTTTTGAATCGACCAACATTTTTTTCCCCACCGCTCGTTCAGGACGTCTTTTGGCTAATAAGAAGAACGAGCAAGAAACTTACCAGCTCTAATAGGAATGACATTCACAAAAATCATGTCATTACCAGATCAATACATTATAAATAAAGAAAAAAAAAGTATGGTCTTCTAATGATAACATAATAACTTAATAATAATGGCATCAAGATATTAAATTTATTATAATTAGTTTAGAAGAAATCACCTATCCAGTTGCTGGACCATCTTAATTCAAAGCATTCTTGTCTGTTATATAATCGGATACTTTGTAATAAGCTATGATATCTAATTGTTGTATTTTGCTTGGGATCTTATTGTAAAAGAGCACACAAAGACCCCTCAATGAGTTATTAACTTTTTGTATTAAGTAGCGTTAATTTATTTTTATTGCTTGTATTAAATGTTATTTTTCTATTTTATTTAAGACTCTTGTGACATCCTAACTAAATCATAATTATATAAAAACATTACCCTGGGCGTTATATTAAAAGGCCTCGCTTAGCTGAGTCCGCTATTTTGTTCGTCTCAAATGTCTGTATGTATGTGTGTGGGTCAGTATAATCTTCTGCCGTTTTATAATCATCAATATATTTTACAATTTGATTATAAATTATGACATATTCGCGTATGATTATCAAAACATCGAATAAAAGTTGCGTCATTTCATTTATTTATAAATTAATAGGGATTAGAGAATTAAATATATATATCGGTAAGAAATACTTTTCACACCTCATTCATATTCATTATGTTATATAATGAATATGAATTCATTATATTATATTATTTCTGATTTAAGGAATCTCGTTTTTAGTTTGTATTATAATTTTTATAGTCACCAAGTTATTTTCAAATACGAAGCTATTGGACATTTCTTGTATGATAAGAAAAATTATAATTAGTTAATAAGTTTCACTATTGTTACATATTTTAATAAAAATGACGCAGACTTTATTTTTAATAAAAATAATATTTCATTTATCGCCAAACGATATTAGATTTTAACCTTCTATATTTTAAAAAATCGGACTTCCGTAACAGAGTGCTTAACAAGTTTCAAGGTATAGCCATATCCGAGGTCCTGGATTCGATTACAGGTTGGGTCAGAAAGTGTAGATCACTTTTGTCTCGGGATTGGTTGTATGTACATAATACGAGATCTTTAGATACTCATTTGGATCGGAATCTTAGCAATGTATGTCATATTGCCTAATTCATTAACTTATTGAATTTTTTTTTGGATTGATTAATGTTATTATAAATTGAGTTCTACTTAATTTTTATTACTTATTTTGTGTAAACAGATTTTTCGTTTTGATAATATTTTCAACATTTTTATCAAAATTACGAAAATGGGCAGGGCAATGGTAATGTATGAATGTATGAAAGACAGTTAATAACTTTTAAGATTTAAATTTTAATCTTCCATTTTGAGATCTGAAACGGCAATCATATCATCTGTGGAATGTTGTAAAGTGTCTTATAGAGCAGGAAAGAGTCAACTGGCATTCACAATTTCTGTTAATACAACTCGATAAACACCAGATGAGGAATAAAAATAATTCAGGCTAACATTAAAATTAAATCTTTATTTTATTACAGTACAAACACACGGAACACGCGACACATTTAAAAAACGTTAGATTTATCAAATTAAAGCTGATTGTTTTTTAAGTCTTACAAACAAACAAACAAAGTTAGAAACTTTACCTATACTTAAAAAATATCTTCCCAATAGCTTAATCCGGTCTTGGAAATGACTCATTTGAGCACTTGATAGTAGTTGAAATAACTATAAAAATCTATAAGAGTACTACAGAAATTTAATCTGTTTTTTTTTCTGTTGAACATAAACAACATTTATTTAGATAACCTAGCCGAGTGCTATCATTACTCGTATACAATAGAAATAAAGAAAGACTTTCTGAATTTGAGTGTGTAAGCTCTTGAGTAAAATTGCAATTGCAATGTTCAAAATGGGATGTTTGTCTATAGTTATCTAGTATTATATCTAGTATTTAATATATATCTAGTATTTAATAGTAGTGTCTCTTTCTAATAATGAATTCACGTAGCAGCATCTTAAAGTAAAGTTTCGAATATATTGAGATTAATGCTTATTTTATTTGCAAAGAATGTTTACAATGTAATATTATTGTATGTCTCTTAATATCATTATCATAAAAAAATAAGATTAAACTCGGATAATAAAGTTGCAAAATTAAAAAAACCTTATACTCTAAACTTTTCTTCAGAATATTTACTGCTGCAATTGCGGAAATCACATGAATATCTAAAAACCTACTACAAAAATAAAATAAACATTATCAGGTGAATTTTAGGTATTATTTACCTAGTTCTAAATCTTATTCCTGACTTCATATTGTCACGGATAGCAATAAATTTAACGAAGCTACATAAACATTTTCTTTCACAGATGAACCAACAGTGCAAAGTGTGCGGAGAGCCTGCTGCCGGTTTTCACTTTGGTGCTTTTACGTGCGAAGGCTGTAAGGTAATAGTCAATAAATACCTAATTTAGTAGTGTGTAAGTGTCAGTTTCACTCGGTTCATTATAGACTACCGATTGCGTCTTCGTTATGTTATTGCAGGAATCGATCAGCTTTCGCAAGGCTTTTAGTTAACATTTGAGAGATGGTCATGTTTATTGTCTCGAGTTCCATCATGTTATGGAAGCCATTATAGGTCGTTGGATATGGCTGCATGCCATCCAAATTGAGTATTACATTTTTGTGATATCTACTATTAATTTCCATCCATTAGGAATCGGTAACGATTATTATTATAAATTGATAATGATGATGCTGCATTTGCAGTAGCTAATACCCTACAATCTGCATTGGGCCAGCGTGGAGGGCCATGTTCTATCCTTTTTGAATCATCACGAAAGTCTGAGGCCATACAGTGGGGACGTAAAAGAGCTGATGATGGTTATGACATTAACCGTTGCATCTGGTTCAATTTTGATTTCATATGTTTTTTACATGGTTATTTTTTAAAATCTCACAATTGGACGTTTCAAAAAACAGTAGACCATAATTGAAAATTTTGTGACTAATCACTAACAATGAATTGTTAGTTAGACTAATCACTAACAATGAATTGTTAGTGATTAGTCACAAATTCAAGGGTTAGTGGACTTCAAATCGATATTGAACAAAAGTCCTTAACCACCCATTTTAGTTGATTGGTTTGATTGGTACTTTTTGGTCAATTTTAATTTGTGACCCTTTAGTTTTCAAGCAAAGACATTATTGTCTCTGCTTGAAAAAACGGCATATAAATGCCGCTGACATATAATGTAGCAATCAAATTGTTACTACGAATAAATTTGTGCACATTTTTTATCGTCATATAAAGTAGATCGATTTAAATTGTCACCGGAGTCAGAGCAAGAAATGTGGGCGTAGAAGCAGTCACAATCCTCGAATAGCAAGAAATATTACTATTACTGAGCTGGTTTTGGCAAATAAACTAAGATAAAATATCAATTCTTTTATAGAGCTAAGACGAGATAAAATCGACAGTAAATGAGTTGTCGACTCGTGCCACTATAAGCAAAAGTCAAATTTAACATTAGACTACATAACCGTTAACACACTTATCTCGATTGTTTCTCTGAGTGTTAATTATTTATTTAGGTACGAATATAATTACATCCCAAATCATAACACTGATAATTTTTAACTAGTCCGTGATTTCAATCATCGTCAATTCAAATTTCAGTGTTATTTATTTAGACTAGGCTGTAAAAGTCGGAAAACTGTAATTAAGAACTACGGAGAACTGGAACGAATTTCAGGAGAGACTGATTTTTTCCTGATTTGCTTGATACAGAAAAACACTGTCTACACTAAATTACTTTCAAGATCATAAACTTTTCTATATTCGAAAAAGAAAAGAAAAGAATAGATACAAATAAGTTTATATATTACAGTAATTATCCTTGAGTATGCTGTGTCAAGAAATGAAATCAAGAAAAGTCTAATACAAAAACAATATAGTAAAATATTTATTAATGATACGTAACAAGAATGATCGTGATATTTTACTTCAATAAGGAAGTTGCAATGATGTATCAGAGGCAATAACATAACACCGAAGCACAGAAGCTCACTTCTATTCACCAACACACCCCTACTACAGCACCGCGTTCTTCACCCTTCTCAAACCCGCTATCCATTTTCTCATATCGCTATACGCATAAATTTCGCGTATACACCTATAAACGTGCAGTGAGTGCAGTGTTACGTAGTAGTGTACTTTTCTTTACCCCGCCTTTCGATAATCAGACGCAATATATCTCTTATGACGCGTCCAATTATCGACCACCTGCAGACAAGGCTAACGTATCCATATGTCACCATACAAAAACCTACCGACGACGACGCCGGCAACGTTTACAAAATCATATCTCATTTATTAATTGGATAATATATCAGAGACTACAATGAGATGTGGAATGAGTTACGAAATCGCATAGGATTAGAAAACAAATCGAAAGATATAATTAGTACTTTGATTTATAGTTAAAGGATTTAAGCCCTCGTAAATCAGGGTTGGCCAATAGACGGCGAGAATATAACGGGTGATGAAAATCATTATAGTGTATTTATGTAAATTAATTCGTTTTACGTCTCATTTGATGACTTATACTATTGAAATATCTATAACGTATGGTCTATGTACGGTTCCCGCTCGAGATAATGTATGATGTAGAATTTATTATTCATGTTTGGGTGATTACTACAAGTGTTAAACACCTTTGTTCAGACCAGCGCGTTATTTTCTAAAATCGTAGTGCTTATACCTTAGTATATAATAATTAATTTCTATAAAGACAGAGTGCATAAAATCTAAACTTTTTTGCTAGCTTTGCTTTCAATGGTACAATACGGTTTCACTTTAGCTATAAAAAATTACATCATCGATACAATAGTTATAGTTCGATGTTAGAATGTAAGTTTATTATATTTTATGTTTTTAGCCTATTTCAGTAAAGGTATTAAAAAAAAAAGATAGGTTAGTGCTCTAAGAAAGTGTAACTATTAAAACAGTAATGAGGTTGTAGATATATAAATAAATATGCAATTTAATTTTATTTGAATAAATTGTCTAGCTTTAGAATTTAAAGAAACCATGAGCTTATAATTTAGCTTAAACCTCAATCTACACTATCTATTAAGCAATATTAATTAAAAACTATCAAAATCATTTTTTTATCATCAAATTCGAAAAATTTCCAATGCATGAGAAAACAAAGAATTAACATTTTTATCACACAAAATAATTAGTGAAGATATTTTTTCATAGAAAACTACATTCGTTTATACAACACCGCTACACTTCGAATAATGTTCTCGCATGATTTAAAGTTATATCAGTGAAACTACTGATTAGTTATTTAACATAATTAAGTATTTATTCAAATTAATTTAAAACAAACACGGATGTAACAATGCGTGGGCGGACCGAGTCGTTCGATGTGATATACACCCTCTAGGGCGAACGGTATCTTGTTTCTTTGAAAATAAATTAAAAAAGGCAATTTATAAGTTTTAGGTTCATCTCTAATTAGGAATAGGCCGTTAAGTTTTGGGAAATGATAACGTTTAATTTGTCAGAAATGTTACTTTCTAAATAGCAGTATTCAACGTAGAAATCCTTACCTCGAGGTATGTTGCTTAAAATATTAGGAAGTAATAGATTCAAAGTTTTATCTAAGCTGATTAGAAACAATGGTCTATCCTCAATTGCTAGCAAATTAAAATTTTTGTGCGTTTGCGAGGAAACCTCAATAGCCTAATACCTCTTGAAAAATAAAAGTAAATATTTATGAATGTATTAGACTTTATTTTATGGGTTGTTATAAGTAAATTCATATAACGTAAGAATATAACATCAAAAATTATCAAGTATAAGAATTAAACAATTTTTATATGTAAAAATATAGATGTACTTTAATATTTTTTAAAGAAATAAAGTATCAAATCATATGTTTATTTATCATCATGCATCTACAATATATATTTCATGCAGGATTTTTGGCTCGCAATTAACTGATTTTGAATGTTATAGATTTTAACGCTTTCTTGTTTTTATATGATCCTGGTGTAATTTCCTGGTAAATAAATTGTTGTACACTCACTAGCATATTTGATTGCTACATCAAAGTTGCACAAATTATTATCTTGCACTTTAATTTCTATACATTATAGTTAATTCACATACCCTCCAATCCGAATTGGACCAGCGTGGAGGGTCATGGTCCATCCTCCTTAACCATCCATAAGGAAGGTCTGAGCCCCTGCAGTGGGGACGTAAAAGGGCTGATGATCCTCTATAGTTTAGATTATTCGTTATGCTATTGATTGAATTGGACACATTATACTCGTATCCGCTAATTAGAATCAATAGATAATAAGACTTAGCAGCATCATTGACTATTAACTTAGTGCACGAATCCAACGTGATAGTCACACGGTGCAAAGAATATAGCAATAAAAACAGAATAAATCCATTATGTTATACAAAATTTAATAAGATTGATTAACATTATTAATTCGAAGGCAACAAGCGTCGACGACACGTACGTTCCACATAACCAAAATTACAAGGAGTTTGTGAGAAATTACAACGGGGGTCAGCAATCGAGTTCTCGATTACAGAGCGTTTATATCGATAAACGTATAATTTGCTCACTTTTCAATAATCGGCACTGTGATGATACGGTGCGTTTTGATAACGGATTTATTGCGCCTTAAACGACTTTAAGTGTTATGTTTCGGTTTTAATATGGTGATCTATTTTTGGTGGTCACGCTGCGCTTGCGCAACTAATCACCACAAACGCACAATTACTATGTGACGTGACAGTAATCGAAACTTATAAGTGTTCCTAATAATACTTCTTTCGGCTGTTATGGTAGATTTCCTGAACATTGTTGGAAATGCACTCACTAGCAATTGCTTGAGAAATTCGAGTCTTACTAACATCTAGGGTATCTCAATCGTTAGAGCAGTCTCCCGGATTGCTAAAAAATACCACTAAGAATTAACATTTTTATCACATCCACCATTTTAAATTTTTATATAAATATACAATACAATTATCCTCTGTGGCGAGTGGTTCCCATACCCAATCCAAAGGTCTGGGTATTGTAGTACTTTCGTTCTTTCAGATTTCTAAAATATAATTTATAGAAGCTTCTTCATATGTCATTTGAATAATGAAAGTGTTTTCTTGTCTATATATATTAAAAAATATGGAAAGACTAACAAATAATAATAATAAGTTATTTTACTGCATCATCATCACATCACCAGCTTATTAATATCCGCACTGCTGGGTTCGGACCTTTCCTGAATAGTTTTATGGTTTAAAATAGTTTAAATAAATATATTGGTATTTTTAGTGCAAGTAATTTTGACTTCTTAAATATTCGGTTACGATGTATAATAAATAAAAAACTTTTATTAAACTTGAAATTCGAAT